CCACTATTTTCTTCCTCTTTTTTGAATCTAATCGACTCCTTTCAACAATTTTTTCATTGTTGTCTACATTTTCTGCATATACCAAGAGACCCCCGCTACTATAACATCAAAAAAAAAAAAAAAAGTCACAAAAAGTAGCAGAAAATACACTTGACATCGAAAAAACAAAACAAATAATCACAACCCATAAGTTTATATCTTTGTATCATAATATAACACAAGTTATGCCTTACAAAAGTTATGTCACTTAATTCCTACAGAACTTATGTTGTTAGAGGCATATATTCAGTTCATAACCCATAAGTTGGCATAACTTACTTCCTAAAGAATTTATGTCAATAGAGGCATAATAAAGTTCAGTTTCAGAACCCACAAAGTTATGTCGTAAGAAACATAACTTATTCTTACAGAACTTATGTTGAACAAGACAAGTTCTCTAAATTTATGCAAGCGAATCAGCTACAACACAACTTATACCCGATAACTTAACTCCTACAAAATTTCTGCCAGACAAAGCAAAAAGTCCTCTAAACTTTATGTCTTGCGAAATTTTGTCATAAATAAGGGTACTAGAGCCTACAAATTTTCTTTAAATGAGAAGCCGACCAAAAATTAAAGAGCATCATATTTGAGGGCAAAAACTAAAGACCACCCGTAACAGAGGCAATCCGTGCAAAAACTTGTAGCAAATATAGGAGGTAAATGACAATTGAGAGGGGACGTGTTGAAAACATAATTTATTAAATAAAAATAAATATGTCTCTCGAACAATTTAAGCTTTTAGATGAAACAAACACATTAAACAGAACTACAGAAGAAAAAATGAGAAACTATATGAATCTGCAAACATTTTAAGAGATCAAACAGAACATATACCTGATACATGAGACAACCAAAAGCCTTGAACAAGAAGAACGGATATGAAGAGCTTTTTTCAAATATGAGAAACCCCTCATCTTCTTCTTCTTCTCAAAATGTTCAAAAAATTAACACTTTTTTTGGTATTTGTGTTACATAATCTGCTTAATTAGTTTAGTATATGGAAGAAAGTGAATTGATTTGACATAGAAAGAGAGCGTAAATTGTTGAACGTGGCAGCTTCTAACCCGAGTCTACAGATCTTAAAAGCGTTAATTAAGTTTAATGACACTTGTAACTTCTCCTCTCCAAACACAAAAATTAATAATCAATAATTCATTAATTCAACATTTTATTTTTTGATCAACAAAAGAGTAATTTTGAAGGGGAATAATATTGAGAATGGTCACCCTTGTTTGGATGGTTGTTATCGGTGATAGAACTAGAATTTTCAATAAGAGGTTCAAAATCTGAAGAAATAAAGATATAAAGTAGTTCAAAGGGATTCGACATCTACTATATATATATAAAAAATTATTTAACCATATATAAATAATATAATTTTCGCCAAAAGGGTTGAACCCCTTGACTATAAGATGGCTCCGCTTGTTACCTAATGTATTATTTTGTTATAACGAAAAATTTCATTTCGTGTAACAAATTTAGGGTGCTCATTTCTTTTTGCTTGTTACCTAATAATCAATTTTTATCTTTATATACTTTAGAAGTGCTATTTGTTTACATTATATTTTAGTTACTAAATCTTAATTAGATGACTATTACATGACATAAAAAATGGAACGCTTACGTTATAAATCGTTGGAGGATGACCATAAGATAAATTTTCCCTAATTGTCCCAATATATGAGAAACTGCATGTGTATTATCCTTCATCTCATTGTTAAGACAAACGTTACACTACTGTAATATTGTGACCTCGACCCAGAGGTTCACCCAAATCCTTTTGACAAAAAATAATTACATTGTACATTTAAGGTATTTTTTATGTATATATTTAGATCTTGAATCTTTTGAACATAAGATTAGAGATTGACTTAGTGACTGAGGGAGATCAATACTTATCTTGAGGTTTCAAATTCAAATTGAAATCTCAAACATTAGATTTTTATTTTTCGAATCCTTATGCATAAACTACTGTATAAGAAGAAGTTGAAAATATAAGCTCGATTAAATATAAAATTATTAAGATTGAACATAAAAAAGAGAACTTTTATTAACGTTTATTCATAATCAGTCAACACATATTTAATGTCATCCACATCAAAACCATACAATATGCATTATTATAATTTTGCATCGCAAACTATCATACATGTGCAAGTGCTATGATTTTTTCCAGCAGGAGCACATTTGCAATTCTGAGGCATCTTACTCGCTGGCCATTTAAATAGAGCTAGATATCCGCAACTAATTTTATCACAGGTTTCATCAGCCTTGAAAGTTACCGGACAAAATTGAATTTCACCTGACACTAACACATGAAAAAATATATACATACACATTAATTAATCAAAATTATGAATGCAAATTAATTAAAAAGGCCAATGTAACTTGCATATACATTGTAAAATCAGTACTTACCTAAGGCAGGTTGAAAAAAGGTGAGAAATATTGCCAAGGAGAGGAAAGAAAACACAATGTAACTCTTCATCATTTTTTAACTCTTCACTTTTTGTATAATTTCTCAAAGTATGAATTGTTTATGATAATTGCTACTCATGTACAACTCTTATATAGGGCTTCAAAGGAATGTTATATTTGGAAGATTATATTGTTGTTTAAAAAATAATAATATATACCCAACCCATAAATTAAGGGATTGAGTTCTCCTAATTTGCTCTTTGACCATTTTTGAATCTTTTCAAATTTTACTTTTAAGAATATTTTACCCCATTGACAAAAGAATTTTCCTTTTCAGTTTTTTGGGTTAAATTTTTTTTTTTATTCTTTGGATGTTTTGATTTGTAACCATAATATATACATTTAAATGTAACGTAAAGATTTTATTCAGTGATTATAGTGAATATATGCTGTATAACTTAAAGGGGAAAATTGGTACTTGGCATCCATCTCATCGAAAATTTTAAAATGACATGGTGGAAAACGGTTAAAAATTAGGATAATAAATTTAATAATTGAAATTTAAAATACCTTTTAAAGAGTTCAATAGCAATCATTAAATACATTTTAAAGAGTTTTCTCATAATTAAGAGTAATTATTATTATTATTATTTACCAATTTTGCATATTTGAAAGATTATATTGTTGTTTCAAAAATAGACCCACAAATTAAGGCATTGAGTTCTCCTAATTTGTTCTTTGTCACGTGGTGTGTTTGACCATTTTTGAATCTACGTAATCTTTTCAAAAGATTTATTTTTCGTTTCAGTTTTTCTTAATTTTACTATATGCATATGGTGTAACTTAAAGATTTTATTTTTATTCGGTGAATATGTGTTTTATTTAATATGTAAAAGAACTACGTATGGCTTAATCTCTCTAAAAGTTTAATTAAATAGTGGTACGTAGACAGTCTGTAACCAAGATATTTATTTATATGAACAGGTCAAGCTGAGTGCTAACTATTTTAATTCAAAATGGTTTATAAATGTAGTGTTAATATTAAATATTAACTATATCTGACTAAAGATTCTGATGGAAGTATGTTGCGTATCCTGTAAAAATTACTCCATAATCAACTTGAAATCATAATTGATTGGCTTTAGGTTGAAAAAAAGTTTCTTGCTATTGTTGATCACTTAATAATTAAATTATTTTTTAATTTCTCAATACACTTGTTGCAATTTGAAATCTGACGAAGAAGAACCTCTATAGTTCAAAGTTGAGAAAGTAATAAATGATCATCATCCATTTCTTTTTTGGTGCTAGTATACATATCAATCCCTTAATTAATAAAGAATATACGTAGGAGTATTATAAATCACAACGGTTAAATAGTTCGATCTAAAAATATTTTTTTATATAACTTTTTAATTTTAATTTTATTTTTAAGATCACAAGATTAAAATACGATATATTTTATACGTATATCTAGGGGTGTTCACGGGTTGGTTTGGATCGGTTATTGGTCAAAATCAAAACCAAACCAACTTAATCGGTTTTAAAATTATCAAAACCAAACCAAACCAAATATAATATACATTTATCGGTTTGGTGATTATCGGTTTCGGTTTGGTTTGGTTCGGTTATTAACCAGACACAAAAATAAAAGAAACAATTCATTTAAAATGTGAAAAAAGTGACAACAATCCATTCAAA